GTGAGATTCACAGCCTTTGCTCGAGTCCTAACCAAGGACCTAGGAACTGTTCAGGTATTATTGAGAAGTCTCTGTGGCGCAGTGGTTAGAGTGCAGTATTGCAAGCTACTTCTGCAGCCAGCTGCCTACAATTTGGCAGTTCAAATCCCACCAGGCTCCAGGTTGACTTAGCCAAAGCACTATAAAGCGGTATATAAGTCTATGTGCTATTGCTATTATTAATTATTATTGTTGTTGTTGTGTTTTGCACCCACCTGCTTGGCTCTCTTAAACCCAGAAGGGACGTGCAAGGCTTCAGAGAGTGCAAAAATGTGAATGGCCAGGCTGTTAACTCATTAGAGCAGCTGTTTTGGCTTCCAGAGTATAACGCAACTCACCCCAAGACCATTGTGTCAACAGCTCAGTGACAACGGGTGGCTGGCATTTCAAAAAATGCTGGGCCCGTAGCTCAGTTTTCTCTCTCTCTCTCTCTCTCTCTCTCTCTCTCTCTCTCTCACACACACACACACACACACAGAAAGAGAGCAGCTGAAGGGCAAATGGAACCCTACTCTTATGCAGAGTAGCCTCTTCAACCAGGCAGCTGCTGCCTCTGAAAATCCCCACATTGATGTAAGGACACGGCACAGCTGGGCCACGTAATCTGCCACGTCTGGGTTTTTGTTTTTGCTTTTTTTAAAAACTAATAAATTTTGCATTTAAGGCTCCACACCATCCTTCTTCCAGTCACCGTTCCTTTTCTGCTCCAGAGAATCTGGGATGTGGGTTTTTTCCACTCCCCTCTCCTCGTCTTCCTTGTGGCAAAGAAAGCTTCCCAAGGAACATCTCGCCAAAAGCGTTTATGCACCCATGGAAGAAAACAGCACCCCAAATTTAGCACCAGCTCATGTAAAAAAAAAAAAAAAAACTCCAGCAGAGAGAACCAGGGGGAAAAAGGCTGCACATTCTATGAAGCAACCAAACAACAACTTTTGCCCTTATATTTCATTTCTGATCTTCCTTCCCAACTTCAGGAAGCATCGCTACCCTCCTGGATAGGTTGGGCTTAACTATGCATGGATTTATTTTAAGGAGGCAGCTTCGCCTCTCCCCAAAAGCCAGGAAAATCTCTCGATCAGTACCAATCACCTCAACTTAAAACATTAATCTCCACTCCAGACAGAGGAATATCTGGGCTGGGTGGCATTATAATAATTCATACAAGAGGCACAGAGCAGATCTCGCCCAGATGGGACACACATCACAGGTTTCCAATTGTCCAGCGCTGGGAAAATCAGGAGATCCAGCCAATGCAAAGTGTATAAAGATTTATTGCGAGCTTAAAAGCTCTCTGCAACAATCTGAACTCCTATGATTTGATTGCTTATTGTACCCTTTGACTATCATTAAGTGTTCTACCTTATGATTCTTGACTCTTGACGAATGTCTCTTTTCTTTTATGTATACTGAGAGCATTTGCACCAAGGGAAATTCCTTGTGGGTCCAATCATACTTGGCCAATAAAGAATTCTATTCTATTCTATTCCTAACCAGGTCAATGAAAAAGGGCAGTAGATAAAGGCAGAAGGAATTCAAAGTGTTTGCATCAGCTCAGAGCTGATTTAATGTCATCTACACAGTTGGCGAACCCAGAAAAAGGAACTCCTGGGATTATTATTTTACTAAGAGTGTAAACTTTACTGAATAAATCCACATTGCCACAGAAGAAGCAAAACCAGCTCTAGAAAAAGTGCAGAGAAGAGCAACCAGGATGATGAGGGGACTGGAGACTAAAACATATGAAGAACGGTTGCAGGAACTGGGCCTGGCTAGTCTAGGGAAGAAAAGGACCAGGGGAGGCAGGAGAGCAGCCTTCCAATATTTGAGGGGCTGCCACAGAGAGGAGGAGGAGGGGGTCAAGCTATTCTCCAAGGCACCTGAAGGCCAGACAAGGAATAATGGATGGAAACTGACCAAGGACAATCTGGAAATAAGGAGGAATTTCCTGTCAGGGAGAGCAATCAACCCATGGAACAGGAGTTGCCTTCAGAAGTTGTGGGAGCTTCATCCCTGGGAGTTTTCAAGAAGAGACTGGGCTGCCGAGCTTCCGGTTTGAGCTTCTTCAGCGACAGACCGAAGCCTCGTCTCTGCGAGGCTTCGATCCATGCTCGCCGCTGGAGCGCCCCGAGCCGGCTGGTTTCGGGGCTAAGCCACCCCGTAGAGGTGGTGAAGAGGGGGGGAGACTGCTTGCAGGGTTGAGGAGAGCCGCATCTCTCCTCCCCAGCTGGCCATTACTCCCTTTCCCGAAGGCGGTTGCAGCGGTGGTCAGAAATGGCCACCACAAAGAAGAACTCGACCGGAAAAGAATGTGCAGGAGGAAGATAAGAAGAGAAAGTTTTGGTTGACCGGGTCAAACAGCAAAAGCAACAACGTAAGGTACCCTGGAATTTAAATTTAATAACATTGTTCCCAAAGAAGATTTTGAAGCTGCGAAGGAGAGAGAGAAGGGAAAGGATTAGGGTTTTTTTCCTTCCCTTCCTTATACTGACAGCTAAGAGACTTAAGCAAGAAATTGAAAAAAATCCACTTTGACATTAATAGGCATCTAAGCTGAAAATAAAAGTCAAAGGGATAATAAAGATATCTGGATATTTAAAAGTTTTTAAAAGCAGGAAAGGAGAAAAAAAAAAGAATAAAAGGGCAGGATCTGGAAAAACGGAGGAGACTGCCTGGAACTAAGGAATGGAACTGTAACTAAAAGGAACTTACAGTGAAATTTCAACAAGATTCCTCAAAGATACATTTTAATTGAAACTTGGTAACAAAATAATAGAACCCCAGGAAGAGAAAGTGGAAAAAAAGAAGCAGAAAGAAACAGCCTTGGATTATTTGGATTACTTGGTGATTTTTGGTTTTTGCATCTGGATGACTAAAATTAACCGGGTGGTTAACTGGGCAGGCCTAATAGTTGGGTTTGAGTCCTGGAGGAGAAATTGCCTGCCCTCCTCCCAGGCAATCTCTCTATTAAAGGGAGAATATACACTGACCTATAAACTCTGTATAACTCCCAGTACTAGAAGGGCGAGGGGGAAGGGTATTTTCCACCCCTTTGGACTGCATGACATCAGGTCCATTAATTACAACTCAAACCGTGGAAGGGGAGGATCAGGAGTGGAGAGAGTCAGCCAATTAGTGCTTTGGGACTCCTTCGATAGCCATCAGCAAATCCATCTTATCTTAAGCATTATTTGTTTTGCGCCATTGACTTTCTATCTCCCGACAATTTGTTTGTGCACGCATCGATGGGTTTCACAGCATCCAGCCTCAGAGTCCAAATGGGTGGACTGTGGGCTTAAAAAAAAAAAGCAAGTTAAAAAAAAACAACCACCACCAAGAACTCAACGAAGTAGACCAACTGCTCTGGCTGTTTTTCCAACTGACCCAGGTTTGCGAATACAAAGCTATGGGGAGGTAGCTCTTCTAGGCCAGGGGTCAGCAACCTTAAACAGTCAAAAGAGCCATTTGAGCCTCTTTCCCACAGAAAACACCAGGAGCCACAGAACCCTTCCCGTTGCCTGACTATTTCCTGAGTGGCCACAAAACTAGCATATATAGAATAAAATAGAATTAGAATTAGAATAGAATAATAACAGAACAGAACAGGAAGGAATGGAATCGAACGGAATAGAATAGAATAAATATTGGAAGGAATAGAACAGAACAGAACAGAATTCTTTATTGGCCAAGTGTGGTTGAACACACAAGGAATTTGTCTTTGGTGCAAATGCTCTCAGTGTACATAAAAGAAAAGAATCATCAGGTGCAACACTTAATGATAGTCAAAGGGTGTAATAAGCAATCAAATCATACTAGGAAACAGTCAATAGTTGAATTAAAGATTCTGTTTTCTTCTGTAACTTTTCTTTTCTTGGATTTATCAATAAATCGCATGCCAGCGAGTGTCGCACATTGACAGTTGCAGTGCATATTTTGAGAAACAGGGAGCCACAGCAGAGGGATGAAAGAACCACGGGTTGCTCACGCCTGTTCTAGGTCCATGTGTGGCTTCCTTCCTGCTAGGACGGCTCGTCCTGGCTAATCCAAGCAAAGATTTTAAGCTCTCCCTATGACTGCTAATCTAGCAGAGGCCCCCACAGCCATGTCAGGTTACAACGTTGAACTCCACCGACTTGGAACTGAACACCAAATGCTACTCAGCGGCCCTCCCTAAACCGCCTCGCCTTATTTAACCCGAGATGCTTCAGCTGACAGCTACACCACCAACCCTCTTGGCTCACGGACTCTGGAAGGCAGAGATAGCTCAGCTCTTCTCCTTCTCCACAATGACGATACAACAGTGGTGGGACTCATCTCCGGGGGTAGATGAATCTGCCTACCGAGATAAGATGGACCAGTTGCTTTTGTGGTGTGGAGACAATAACTTGGTCCTCAACACCGATAAGACCAAGGAGCTTATAGTGGACTATAGAAGGAACAGATCAGACATCCAGCCCTTGCTTATCCATGGAGACTGAGTGGGGCAAGAGACCAGTTTTAAGTTTCTGGGTGTTACCCTAAAAGAGGACCTGACCTGATCACATTGCAGCCCTGGTCAAAAGGACCCAGCAGAGATTATACTACTTGAGACTTCTCAGGAAGCAACTGGATGGAAAACTGCTGGTGACCTTCTACCGCTGCACCAGAGAGAGCATCTTAACTTACTGCACCTCTGTATGGTTTGCCAATTGCACAGTGGCAGATAGGACAGCGCTCCAGAGGGTGAACGTCATTGCCCAGAGGATCACTGGTTGCCCTCTCCCCTCTTTGGAAGAGCTTTAGAGCTCCCGCTGCCTTAAGAAAGTTCAAAACATCCTTAAAGATCCATCTCATCCTAGGAACCCTTTTTTTTTTAATTATTACCATCTGGCAGACGGTACAGGATAATAATAAAAACAAGGACAAAGAGGCTGAAAAACAGCTTCTATCCCAGGACAGTAACTATACTGAATTCTACGAGTGGTGGGATTCAAATTTTTTTACTACCGGTTCTGTAGTGAGCATGGCATGGCTTGGTGGGCATGGCAGGATACTGCAAAATCCCTATTCCCTCCCCACTCCACTAGCCTGCTTTCCAGCTCCATTCTCCTGGGCAGGGCAACCAAAGGAGACCCAGCTGATCAGCCGGGACTCGATGGGAGGCAGAGAAGAGACGGGGTTGGCGGGGCCAGTCAGTTGTGGGATTTGCCAGTTCTCTGAACTACTCAAAATTTCTGCTACCAATTCTCCAGAACCGGTCAGAACCTGCTGAATACCCACCTCTGAATTCTACTATATAGTGCAATATTAATGCAATATCAGGAGTTTTCAATTCATTTGCATAGAATGTGAAGGATGTGTGTTTGTGTTTTATTTTTATAGTTTTCTTATGTGTGTATAATGTACACTGAAGATGCCATTTAATTTTGTTGTACGGGATGCAATGACAATAAAGTAAAGTAAGTCTGGCTGAGAAGACTTCAAGATTGCAGAAAGAGCTACAAGATGAGCTGACTATTCCAAGCCCAGCCCTGGTTCTTTCCTGACCACAGGAAAGAAGAGGGGAGGCCCCATCTTCTGCCAGGAAGAAATGTCTCCGTTTAATGTCCTTCACTAAATGTTCTCCACCCCAACGAACCTTCAAAGCCCAAGTATATGACCCTACATGATGTGCGCACGGAGTAAATTTTCCACCCAGCACTAGATGGTTGGATCTCAGGGATCCTAGCTAAAATATAAAACGGGTCAGACCACGTTTTCGCCCACTCACTTGCTACTCCGGCCATCAGCCGTTTCTTCTTTCTCCTCTGAGCTGCCATCCATCTGGGAAGACCTGCTTGTCTCGTCCATCCAATCGGAGACCTGCTTAAGGGCGCATTCGACGGTGGAAACCATGTTCTGGACGGCTTCGAGTTCTTCTGGAGACGGATAAATCGTTGAATGTTTCATCATCACGTGCCGGTCATCGTTAGCAAACGATCGGATTGATCTCTGGTTGGGGAGAAGGCAGGAAGGAACGGAGGTCAAGGGGAGGTTCCCCGAGATGATCGAGGACAAGGTAGATCATCACACACCATCACGAGAACCCAAACAAGGACCTTGTGATGACCCAGGGCGTGGCACGAAGGCAACACAGCCAGAGAACAGGTGTGAGTCCCTTTATTTGTTCCAACTTGGTCACCCACCCCAAGGGATAACATCAAAAAAAAAAACAGAGTCGATCTTCTTGGTTGGCAGGACCGAATCAATGGTGCCTTCAAAGCCATCCATCTCTTCAGCAGCTTTGGGAAGAAGATGCAGGCCTACCTCTGTGTCCCCGACCATCAAAGAAGACCACAGAAGGGGAAAGCACCCTTCCCAGGGTGGTGGGATGGATGGATGGGTGTGTGTATAATTATCTATCTATCTATCTATCTATCTATCTATCTATCTATCTATCTATCTATCTATCTATCTATCACCTATCTGTTGTGGCCCGCCAGCTGCCAGTGGAGCTGGTGGCAGAATCGGACGATGAGGAGGTTGGGGTGGGCCAGTTCTGGAGTATGGGGAAGGCTCTAATGGATGCTCTGCGTTGGAGCCAGGGGCATCCGACATTTTCCAGCCACCGGAGAGGCAGCTGCCTTTAGAGGTTGACCTGAGTGAGGAGGAAGAACAGTTGGGGCCTGTTCCAGATGCGCGTATGCACAGAGCTGTTAGGAGAGGGGAACAACGGAGGACAAGGAGTCAACTTGGGGAGCAAAGCATTCGTGGATGCTGAATGGCCCCTCCCTGGCTGGGGAATAAATAGAAGGAAAGGGGGAGTGGTTGTCGTAGGAGACAACAGTTTGTATTTCTGAAGATTTTGCTCATGGTATTTCTTGCCAGAACTTAATCTGCAGCTCTTTCAGCTCGACCTTGCAATCATTCCAAGGAACTGATAAGGTCTGTTGCTGCCATTAACTCTTGGAAGGACTCTTGCCTGGACTTTTCTGCAGGTGAATGCAATTAATTCACAAGAGGTAAATAAAGAGAGTGGGGTTTTTTGTGACCGGGAGTCTGAGTCTGTTTGTTGCTCCTGCTAAGGCTGGGTCAGAATGCTATCTATCTATCTATCTATCTATCTATCTATCTATCTATCTATCTATCTATCTATCTATCATCTATCTATTATCTATCTATCTATCTATCTATCTATCTATCTATCTATCTATCATCGATCTATCATCTATCTATCTATCTATCTATCTATCTATCTATCTATCTATCTATCTATCATCTATCCATCTATCTATCTATCAATCATCTATCTATATCATTTATCTATCATCTATATCTATCATCTATCTATCTATATAATCTATCTATCTATCTATCTATCTATCTATCTATCTATCTATTATCTATCTATCTATCTATCATCGATCTATCATCTATCTATCTATCTATCTATCTATCTATCTATCTATCTATCTATCTATCATCTATCTATATCATTTATCTATCATCTATATCTATCATCTATCTATCTATCTATCATCTATCTATATCATTTATCTATCATCTATATCTATCATCTATCTATCTATATCATATATCTATCATCTATCTATCTATCTATCTATCTATCTATCTATCTATCTATCTATCTATCATCTATCTATATCATTTATCTATCATCTATATCTATCATCTATCTATCTATATCATCTATCTATCTATCATCTATCTATATCATTTATCTATCATCTATATCTATCATCTATCTATATCAACTATCTCTCATCTATCTATCTATCTATCTATCTATCTATCTATCTATCTATCTATCTATCTATCTATCTATCTCTGATCTATCTATCTACCTACCTACCTACCTACCTACTGATATATATCCATCTTATATGAATATATAAATATATCTATATGGATGGATGGATGGATATAGGTAGATAGATATAAATGCCATATCGCTGCCATCTGGCAGGAGGAAGGGGGGGGGAATGCCCTTCTAATCACAGACATGGAGACCCCCAGGGAAGAGGGCAACCCCTCCCCATGGACCTTTCTGAGTTCAAGGTTGCAACTCGCAAATGTCACTTTTATTAGGAAAGGTTATTTATGCCCATCTTTTCCCCCTCCAGCGCTTAATAATTCATGCCACGCCGACGCCACACTGGGGTTTCTACAGTGTCCCTGCTATAAATCAAGGTCTGTTTTCCACAGTTTAAGAGCCGTTAACGCAGCCCTGTTTTGCAGGGCCCGTGGATAGCTGGTTTAGCAAAACTGGTTTACTAAGCCGGGAAGACGGTCCTCTGTGCTCCAGGGTGACGTTCTTCCTCCGCTCCCCACCCCTTGGGTGACCGGCCAGCAGGACCTACCATGGCTACAGCAGATTTCACCTCTGGTGCTCTTCGCCTTTCTCCTTTTCCCTCCTCCTGGGTATCTTGGCTAGGCACTGAGACTTCAACCAGCAGCTCCACATAAGCCTCTCAGTCTTTCCCCAGCTCAGAAGTTCACCCAGGTATGGCGTTCCTGGAGTCAGGTTCCACCAGGCACCTGCAGAGCACCAGAGAGAAGAGGGAAGAAAGCAGAAGAAATCAGAAACCAGTTTCCACGGAGAGATGGCTGCCAATTCTTCCAGGAGGAAGGAAGGAAGGCGCATATTTTCTGCAGAAGGCAGAAATGTCCCCCAAAACGGTTGATCTTCAGTAGTTCTCCAGCGCCAACTTCCTTCCCCTCCAGGTTCTTTGAAACTTTCATTGGAAGATACTGGACAAAAATACATACGTGGTTGGAAAAGATGATACACCACATAGATTTAAGACCTGAAAATATGTTTCTTGGGGATCATACCAGAAACTTACAGTAAAAGATAAGATACCTTTAATTATCCATGTAGTAACCGCAGCTAGAATTGTACCATATTTGCACAAACTTGGAAAAATGAAAAGATTCCGACAGAAGAAGATGTCATAAGGAAAATACTAGAATGTGCAGAAACAAGCAGGCTAACACTTGCAAACAAACTGAATATTATCAGATATGGGAATTATTTTATCAATGGCTAGAGAAAAAATATGAAAGCTAGAAATAATCCTTGCAGACAGCTGGTCATTTGCAGCCTTTGAGGCCACTTGGAGGTTTATCTGTGTCCACTGGGTTACCTGGGTAGTGCTCCCGGTTCCTGTAGCAATTTTTCCTCTGGATAAACCTCCAAGTGCTTCAACGTCCCTTTAAAAGGATGCAAATGACCAGCTGCCTGCAAGGAATGTAAATCCTTCCATTCCCCGCCATCCCGTCAGAGCTGAAGAAGCTTCTTGGAGGAGAAGGGAAACATCTTAAAAAGAAAAAAAACAAGAAAGTCCAGTTGGTTCCTGAAAAAAAAGCACCTTTGGGACAACCATGACCTGAAAGACTGAGAATCTCTGCAGACATTTTAGGCTTCTCTTGCATTATTTAGACTTTTCAGAAAAGGGGGGAAACGAGGATATTGTACCGATTTTGGCTTGTCTTGAAGTACCGATGGCGTAACGTTGATTTCTAACAGTTGTAAAGACTCTGGCCAGTTCACAGAAGAAGAAAAAAACCAAACCAACCAAAAATGGAGACCATAAAAAGAGCAAAGCAATAAAATGACAACAAAAAATAATGTTCTTCCTAAGAAATCCTCTTAATTTGGATGCTGGTTTTGGAGTTAGGTTATTGCAGCCAGTGCTGTCCAGCAATTTGGCATGTACAGTCATACCTTATGGCCTTTATTAATCATAGTCTTCATTTCCTATGCATTTACGTTGAAGGGTGGGAGATGGAAAACCTTTTTTTCAATGGATGAAGCATTTATCTAATGTTTATGGAAAACTTGCACGCACAGAGTTACTCTCTTGGCAATCATGTCATCGCACATCTATAAATCCATTACAACCTGGAAAATTCTCTACCAGTTGGCAATCCATGAACTTTTAGGAGAAAGTTGTTGAAGATTCAGGGAATCCCAGAAAATTGCCTTCCATCATCTCAATTTTTAACTAGACAGTTGTTGTTTTTTTACCAAACACTCATATGTCTATATATGTATATGAAGCCTTAATCATCCAGGCCAAAAATACCTCAAAAGGTAAAATCGTGGACCAAAGTTTCTTAAAACTGAGGCATTTTGTCACTCATCCGAGTAACTTCTTCAGTCAACATGAAAATTTTGGGTACGCAGAGAGTCATTGGAACGTTTGTGTCAGATCCGTGTATCTGCCATTCTTCTATGGAAGAAGGGGGGGGGGGGAGGAGTTGGTACAAGTAATCCTTTTTGATGTAACCTGAATATATTAAATCTTATATTGAATCTGTATAACTTGCACATGATATACAACTGGAGGACTGGAGCCAGATGGCTAGAAACTTGTCACCTCTTGGAGAGACAGCAAGAGGAGAAGGGACCATAAAAATTCCAGCTCTGGAAGATGCTCCCTGGGAAACTCTTCTAAGATACGTTCCCAGAAAAGGGGAGGGTGGAATTAACATGTTGGTTCTTTGTTTGACTAAATACACATCTAAACAAGGGGAGGGGTTCTAACTCCCTTTATCTATTACTGCGTGCCTGGAAGCATTTTAGATTCTGCTTTGACTAGTACTGGATTCACTTCCTTTCAATAAAGAACAGGCATGATATTCCCCTCTGAAAAAAAAATCGGGGCCGGCCAAAAGAGACCCCCCCACCGCGCGCCAAGAAATCGCTGCCCAGCTCCCTTTTCCTGCCGCCCGCCCGGGCTCCACTCGCACCGCCCGCCCGCCCGGCCTCCGCTCGCACTGCCCACCCGCCCGGCCTCCGCTCAGGTATCCGGCTGGGGCTGTCAGGAGTTGCTACCGCCGGCGCGGCTCCAGTCCCGCGTTGCCTCGGGAAGGGAAAGGCAAAACCAGGAGCCGCTGCTGCCGTTGCAAAGCGCCGCCGCAGCTCTTCCTTTTTGCCTTTCCCTTCCTGAGGCAACGCGGGACTGGAGCCACGCAGAGCCGCGCCAGCGGTAGCAACTCCTGACTCGGGGCCTCCGAGGGGAGGGGAAGGAGGAGAAGAAGGGGGGGAAGGGGGGGCGATTCCCAAAAAAATCAGAATTCCGATTTTAATCGGAAGAATATCATGTCTGAAAGAATTCCTTTTGAAGTGCCTAGCTTTCAGAAGTTCATTCTTTTTCAGTTGAAGGGGTGCTTACACCTTGCCATGCAGACTGCAAAATAAAAGGTAAATGTGTGCTAGTCATTTCCTGTTCTGGGAGGTGGTGCTCATTTCCGTTACAAAGCCGAAGAGCCAGCGCTGTCCGAAGACGTCTCCGTGGTTGTTCTGACCCAAACCTTGTTCCAAGGAAACAAACATGAAACAGAGGTAGCAGCAAAACCTTTTAATGATCCTTTACAAATTCCATTCCTTCACGGTTAAAAGGCTGTTTCAAACTAATTGTCTTTGGTAAGAACGAGCCTTGCCAAGGTTGTGCAAGGCTGCCAAGAACACTAGATAAAGTTGCCAAGAAATATTTCAAATACAAAGAGTCTCCAAACACCAACCAAGATATTCCAAACGTCCACAAGACTTGAGTGCAAAAACTTCTTTGCTTCCAGCAAAGAATCCCGGTCTCTTAGGCTGGCTTTTATTCCTTAAGGGAGGGGCCATTCCCTTGCAGCCTTACTCCCGAGTCGCCCATGCTGCTGCAGCTGCTCTTTCCTACTAGCAGCCCTGCGCACACATGCACTGGGCACAGGCTCCTCGGGGAGCTCTTCCTCACTGCTGCCAGCCTCCACCGTCTCCGAAGGCAGCACTCCACTCCCTGATGGTCCTGGCCCCATCCCTGCATCACATGCAGGCCCCTCTGTATAACTTGCACATGATATACAACTGGAGGACTGGAGCCAGATGGCTAGAAACTTGTCACCTCTTGGAGAGACAGCAGGAGGAGAAGGGACCATAAAAATTCCAGCTCTGGAAGATACTCCCTAGGAAACTCTTCTAAAAGTCCTCGCTCTCCAAGGCTTCAGCCGTCCTCACCTGCTGCCGGTGAACCACAACACTGGCAAAGGAAGAGGCAGCAGACACAAACACTAAGGAAACATTCCACCAAGCTCACAGTCCAATTAGGAAGCAAAACAAGGGAGCAAATTTCCACCCAATGAATTGTGTTTTAGTAGGCAGGCCAACAGAGATGCAAGTATCTGAATGTGGCAGAATTATATGAAAAGAAGCTTTGGGAGAAACACCTTGGACTTACGAGATGGGAGAAAGGCAGACAACCTGGCTCAAAAACTGTGAGAGGGACCCTTGGAGTCCCAGTGGACAATCACTTAAATATGAGCCAGCTGTGTGTGGCAGCAGCCAAAAAAGCTAACACAATCCTTGGTTGTATAAACGGAGGCACAGAATCAAAAGCACGTGATGTATTAGCACCGCTTTTAAAGCCTTAGTAAAGCCACACCTGGAATATACCACATCCTGTTTTGGTCACCCCGTTGCAAAAAAGATGTGGAGACTTTGGAAAAAGTGCCGAGAAGAGAAACTATGAGGATTAAAGACCAAGATTTTTTTCTACTCACAAAAAAGGACCGGGACACATATTTTCAGTTCTATTCCCTTCTCCATCTCAGCACTGGCAATTTCAACTCTCAAAACTCTGATTTTTTTCAAAATGGTCATCGGAGCTTTAGCATTTCCTATATTGTTATTATTAACACGCTCTGATGCTAAGGAGTTCTACTCCCCCGCCCCACTTGAAAAGAAATCTCTTCCAAATGCAAAACACAAGCAGAGGAGTTTCAGTTTCAGAGTACCAAGCAGCTTTAGTACAGAACAGTTGAGCTACGCCCAGCCACGCCCAGGCTCCTTGCTGTCTCCTTTTTGCGCACACAGCAAATACTGTTTCAGTTTCCAAGCAGCCCTCCACTCTCTCACACACACTTACTGGATGCTAACCAGATGAATACTAATGGATGCTGGTAGGCAGAGGCAGAATTTTTCCCCCCTTATTTTCTTCCCGAAAAACCAAGCCCGACCACATAGTTTCATAGCAAAGCACAGGTATCGAGCTAATACCTATATATCTATCTTGCTAACTCTCTATCATCTGTCTATCTCCCTTGATCCATCCATTCATCCAACCAACATCTGACAAATTGAAAGAATAAACATAACATACATAAAGCAGCCTTAGAAGCTTTCTACCCAAGGAACCAACACACACATGGTGGGCTTTTTAACTCAATTTCATGGTAGGAAAGACCCAGCTCCTTCCCGCGTTCAACCATACCTCCGTGGAAGGTTCTGGATGCTACGGGCACTGAGCGGCCTCTTCTTCACCCGGGGCAGCCTCTACCGACTAACATCCTTCTGATTTATTTCAGAGATCACAAGCTTTGAAGCTGCGACGTTGTTTTGCCAGCAAGGTGAACCCGTCTGACCAGAACGTCAGCTTCTCCAAGCCTGCTCAACCAGACTTTCTTTTCCAACAGAACAGAAGCCAAGTACAAAAAGGGATTTAGGGCTCTTAATTTGGAACCTATTTTTGAGCAAGTACCTTGGATTCAGAGGCGCCCGAAGAAAGCTTTTTCTGCCTCACAACAAAATTCTTCGTCTAGTCCACAATGACATCAGGCCACCTTGGACAAAGAGGCAGCAAGGGTCCAAACTGGCTCTCAAGTTTTTCACCAAACCTGGGCCAGTCTTGATACCCTGCTTCTCCTTCCTGGCCTGGCCATTGTTGTTTTGCTTCTCTCCTATTTCCCTGGGCTGAACTTTGGACCGTCTCGTGCATCTGTTCCTGCTCTTTGCACACTTAACCACTGGGTGTGTAATTCCTCCTCGCTGTCGCCGGCTCTCTTAAAAAATTACTGCGATACCTGCAGATCTGCAGTTCTTACTGGCCGGTTCAAAGCCGGCTGGGACAGCCGAGGCCCAAAGAAAGCTCAGCCTGACATTCCTGGGTTAAATATATCCACGATCTGTGAGCATTCCAGCCGACGCTAACTCTTACCAGTTATGCTGAGACAGTCTTGGACAAATCCTTGTCTCCTGGTGACTTCATTTCATAATAACTTTTCTCCTCTCCATTGCATCATTCGCAAGTAACATCAAGTAACTTGGCCAACCCACAGCGGTGTCGTAATATAGCCCAACATTACCACAAACAGCTGGAAAGCCAGCAGTGGGTGTAGCAGTCACTTTAGAAATTCCAAGGAAGTGCAAAGTCTCCCATCTCAGCAATTTTTGGATCGGCAGACTCTACCTTTGGGGTTTGAGGTGTGCTCAACCTGGGCTTTTGAGTCATTCCCGACTCTCCGTCCAAAGGAGTTTCTAAGAAAGTCTTGCGTTCAAAGATGGCATCCACAGATATTTCTTTTAGCATCTCGTCAACTCCCTGAAACCTGAATTTCTTAAGTAAAAATAAATAGAATGCCGAAATACAGCAAACTCCCAGTTCCAACCTGATTCTTACATCTAAAAGTAGATCTGGCTCTTCTATATATTCCCAACCCCACCTCCCAAACAACAACAAATGATGGGTGATGAAAGCCATCTATCCTATCTGGAGTTCCTCAATCATCCGAATCATGGTTGTTGCAAAGGTTCTGTCAACTCCTAAAACATTCCTATGCCTGTTTTAGTAGTTACCATAAAAAAAGAGAGGAGAGGGGGGGAAGGAAATCTGGAAGAGCAGTGCAGCAGTTTGAAAGCAAAAGTACATTCCAACTCTTTATCTTTAAAAGGTTGTAACTAAAATACCAGAGCTTTTGCTTGAGAATATATTTAATTGGAGAACATGATTGATGACACCCAGCCCGTCAGTTGGTCAATTGGAGAATCTGATTTATGACACACCCAGGGGGGAGGAGGGGAAACAGGCCACAGGTGACTGTAAATTACATATGCCAGAGTTGGCTTCATACAGGGCACTGCCAGTATGTCGCCTCAATTAAATCCTTTGAAGTTTTTTGAAGTTCGGCTCGGGAATCATGATTTAATTAGGGCGATTGCTGGAATCCTGACAGGTTCTTTTCAAAAGGCAACTGGAGTTTCTTGGTCATGTCCCATCGCCTTTTTTAATTGTTTTTTTTATTAGTTTATAATATAGCATACAAAGAAAATACAAAAATAAATAGTAGGGAAAATAGGGAAGGGAAAAGTGAAGGAAAGGGCAAAAAGAAAAAAAAGGGGGGGGGACTGACTTCCCACTCGTTTTGGTGCAGTAAACTAAGGCATTAATATCAAACTTCAACTTTTTACTTTTACATAATCTCTGCATTTGCATAGCGCAGATAGAATACCTGGCTCACATCGTATTGGATTGTTGCCCGTATAAGAGGGTGAGAGAGAGCACCTCAGTCTATATACCAAACGAATGACCCATTGAGACCCCCGTATCAAAACAACTTACCTCGTGTGCGGCCAGAACCTGAAAATACCCTTTAAGCACAATGGTCCTTAAGCCCTCTAGTCCAGTTGAGATCGGCATATGCAGGACTGATTGGAGTAGATTGCAGGGGTGTGACACCGAAATATAATTTTGTCATATTTTATCTATATCTTAAATTACTGCATTCTATTCCAATTTCACTTTAGACTGTATTGTATTCCAATTTCATTATCAATCGTATTTTATTCCCATTTCATTTAAAATTGCATTTTATCCAATTCCATTTTAAATTGCTTTTATCAAATTTTTAGCAATAATTTATTTCTGGAACTTTGCACTTTGATATGGCCCAAGGGCTAATCAACAAATAAAATGTTCTTTGACATAATAGTATAAACCAGCCATTTCCATAACAACAAAGGTATCTAACTGGGTAAAACCCAAAATCAAAGTTTCATTTTTTTTTCCAGCTCAAGCACGAAGTCCAGCAGGGGTTTCCAAGTAGAAATAAAAATTATTTATTTATTTTTTCTGATAGATAGATAGATAGATAGATAGATAGATAGATAGATAGATAGAGATAGAGATAGAGATATATAGATATAGATATAGACATATAGATATAGATATAGATATAGATATAGATATATATTAAAAAGTCCAGTTGTCTTTTGAAAAGCACCTTTGGGACAACCCTGGATGACTGAGAAACTCCATAGATAGATAGGAATGGTGCTTTTCATCATTCTTGGTTGTTTGGGGGGGGAAATATATAGAAGGACTGATCTAACTTTTGGACGTAGGATTGAGGTTGGAAAACTGGCAGCCTGCAGGATTGCAGCATTCCCCTTTGGGACGTCTATCCTGTCTGCAGAAGAACAACCCCAAGAGAAAGTACGAGATGATAAGAGAAGACATGACATCGTCCAGAGGTGGGTATTCAACCGGTTCTGACCAGTTCTGGAGAACCAGTAGCGGAAATGTTGAGTAGTCCGGAGAACCAGCCAATCCCACCTCTGACTGGCCCCGCCAACCCCATCTCTTCTCTGCCTCCCATTGAGTCCCAGCTGATCAGCTGGGTCTTCTTTGGTTGCCCTGCAAGGAGAACAGAGCTGGAAAGCAGGTTAGTGGGGTGGGGAGGGGATTTTGCAGTATCCTTCCCCTGCCATGCCCACCAAGCCACGCCCACCAAGCCACGCCCACAGAACTGGTAGTAAAAAATATTTGAATCCCACCACTGGACATCTCCGCATCAATTGGCCACTCCTGACCTTTTTCAAGAACATCAGCCAAACATTTGAAGCCCCTCCAAATAGGTCCACCACCAGCTCTTCAAAGTGGAGGCCCTGATCACAGAGGAAGCCAACTGAGACAAACTCAGGTGTTATGTGAATTTCGTTGTATATGTATACACGTACAATGATAATAATTATGACTATCATTAAGTGTTGCACCTGATGATTCTTGACTCTTGACGAATGTATCTTTTCTCTTATGTACACTGAGAGCATTTGCACCAAGACCAATTCCTTGTGTGTCCAACCACACTTGGCCAATAAAGAATTCTATTCCTATTCCTATTTCTATTCCTATTTCTATTCCTATTTCTATTCCTATTTCTATTCCTATTCCTATTCTATTCTATTCTAATTCTATTCTATTCTATTCTATTCCATCTTCTATTCTATTCTTTCTCTTCTCTTCCATCTTCTCTTCTTTCCTCTCCCCTCACCTCCCCTTCTGTATTCTATTCTATTCCAATATTTCTATTCTATTCTATTCGATACTATACTATTCTATTCTTTTTCACTCCAATATTTCTATTCTATTCTTCATTCAAAAATTCTATTCTATTCTATTCTATTCTATTCTATTCTATTCTGTATAATTCTAAATAATTCTACACTCTAATTCCAAAGAGAAAGGGGGGGGGGATATCTTCCTTCGGATGGAATGGAGATTTTCACACACTGTGGTGGCACTCAAGACAGCTCGTTTCAGACCACCTCAATCTTCTGGTGGGAATGACATCTTGAAAACCACCCCGACATCTCTTTCCGCGCAGGAGCTGAATCCCAGGATGTGCCGCAATGGAGAAGCACCGAGAAGGAGCTGGTTTCCTGCCAGATGTTCCCAGATTTGGGCTTGCTGGACAGATGGGTTTCCACCGCAACCCTTGCAACCTGCTGCGCCCAGTGGATGATGGAGAAGCTCCCTCAACATTTGGAGATGAAAAGGGACACTGCCTTTTTCCCCCCCTTCAAAGCAAGATGCTCCCTGCCTCGTCTGAACAGACGCTTTCTTTTTCCCTTCTTCAGGGAGCACTCAACCCAATGACAAACGACAAAGCCCACCCGGTTCCTTCCGCACCGTAATTTTAAATTTCTGGCCTCCGTTCAAAGTTCTCTCCAGCAGCATCCGCCACAGTGGGGAACCATATCTGGGTCACCGTCGCTCCAATGAGCATGCTGGCATCGAACACTGGCAATGATTTATTTTATTATTTTCGAGTGCTCTTGGGACGAGGCCTGAATCAACCCCGGGAGGAATCGTACAAAAGCTGCACACAAAAAATACACAAGGAGAACAGTCCAGAGAACAAATCTACCTCAACATTTAATCCTCAAACTGGCCCACGTTAATACAATTCGGCTGGTCCATTAGCAAAGGTGCCTTATTCCTGAATTCAGAAAAAATGAACTGTGTGGCCAATTCAGCAATACTTTCTCCAAATGTTCCATCTATTTCTCAGAGCCAGCAATATCTGCTCACCTGGGAAAGGAGTAGAAGCATTAGGGAGGATGGTGAAACAGGGATTTTTCCAAACCAGTAAAGGAGAATTTGGGATACACAGCTATCCGAAATCTACTTCCGCAGCCGAGTTTTGAGTGTCTTAGATCAGTGTTTCCTCCATCTTGGCCACTTTAAAGACAGGTGGATTTCAACCTGCGGCAGGGGAATTCTGGGAGTGGAAGTCCAC